AAAAAAAAAAAAAAAAAAAAAAAAAGACGAGTAAACAGATAAACCACATATATAAATAATAAACCCAATATCATAAATCTGTCAGTCCTCCAAAATATCTATAGATTGAATGCATTTCTAAACAATCTTGGCCTCAGTTTTCTAGGATCTTTCTAAAATTATTCTGAAATTCATGTGAAGCAAGTCTGTTGATTGCTGAGAGTTTTGAAAAACTGAGGAAATGCCCTTAATGTATACTATTTATATAGTTACAGTCATTAAAAAGTGTGAGGTATTAGTGCATTAGGGTAACAGTTTTAAAGAACAGACCGAGGAGTGTATATGAATTTGTTATACGTTAAATGTGACAAGTTAGTAGGAAATCATGGCCTAGTAAATGACAATGTTTAGAATTATTTACATATTAAGGAGGATAAAATCATGTACAATCCTACAATTATAAAGAAATGAGGGCCAGGGATTTAGCTCAGTGGTTCTGACACCTGCCTCGCAAGCACTAGATCTCAAGTTCAATCTCCAGTACCAAACATAAGAAATATCCCAAAGAATTTTAATGATGAAATATGATAAGTCAAAGTAACCATTAGGAAAAAATACAGGTGGTTCTGTATTCCTTTGAGGGAATAAGGGGTTTTTGTGTTTTGATTTTTTAAGAATCCCATAGTTCAATTTCTGGCCTTCATCCTATAGAAATTCACACATAGAACTGGAGATTTAGCTCAGGGGTTCAGGTGCCTGCTTTGCAAGCACAAGGGCCTGAGTTCAGTCTCCAGTACCAAAAAAAAAAAAAGAGAGAGAAATTCACATGTAATGCTTAAAATGGATGGATGGATGGATAGATAAATAGACGGGACCTAAATATTCATCAGTGGCTCAATGAATGAACGATGTATGATATGTTCAGATGATAGAATTGTGTATCCCAGTTACAAACAACTACATCCAAGTTGTGTGAGAATAGTTACCTAAAACACTGTTGAATGAAAAAAAAAGAAGGTATAAATGAAACATTGTATAACATTCGTGTAAGTTGGAATGGATCACTTATTTTAAAAGTTTTTATATTGAAATATCTGTGTATGTATGCAAAACTAAGATGGGTTTGAAATCAATAATGCCTCTATTGATTGTGTTGTCTCTGGCAAAAAAGGAGTTAAAGGTGTTAATTAAGAAGGGTCTTTAGCTTGACATGTATTTTTTACACCTTACAAAAGACCAGTATAAGTAGCATATAAAATAATTCCTAAAAGTTACAGATAACAGTGATAATATGATTGGATTGTCGTAATGGTGTTTTTTCTAGTACTTTGTCAGAATTGTCAAAGGAAGCCTGTATTCATAGAAAGAAATGTTATAATGGACTCTTATGTCCTACCAGATGCTGAACTCTTATTAAAAATATTTCCAGAAAATTCATAGTTTGAATAGTACTCTTTATGAAATAATAATGTAGTTAGCATGTTTTATTAATTCCATTAATTTTTTTATATTTCCAAAATTTTTAGTCATCTTTGAATCAGTGGTGTTGTAGATTCAAGTAAACATTTAATCATTAAATTTTGAAAATCAGATGTCAGTATAATAAATGAAATCTGTTTGTATTTACTATTTTAAGGCATAATTATCTACTCATGGTCCATGCCCTTTTAGTTTGTGTCTATTACTACTTAACAACAAATTTGTTAGTTTAACAGCTAACTACTTAGTCATCTGTTTAGAGTTATGAAATGAATAAGATTTTCCTGAAATTGGACTTTGCAGTATTAATGTTTTTAGCCTGTAAGTTTCCATACAAAAGCATATAAGCATCAATGTCATTGTTAATTATTTCCCTGAGGTGGCCATAAGTAATTTTATGAAATTGCTTATTAACATATAGGTCATATTGTTACTCCCACAACTCTTTGACATATATGGCCTGTCTAGTTTGGGTCAGAAGAAATGGTGGTCTCAGATTCTGAGCAATAATTAATGAAATTCCTCTGAAAGGGTCTTACTTTCTATAACAACCCTTAAATGTACCCTTAAAATATAAAGATTGATGATGATGGTCTAAGTAGATCTTTAACTTTTTTTATAAATATCAGTTGCATTTGTTTGAAGTTGATTTCAAAAAAGTAAATCTACAAATAAAGATTGTAAAATACAACCATGATTATGTAAATGCTGATTATTAGGTATTTTTGAAAATGGATAATGATGTTAAATATAGCAAGAACTTAATGAAAACAGTAACAGCTTAAAATATCTAAATGAATATTGTCATTTCATATAAACCTAGTGTTAGCTGCAAACTTTGTTTTGTTTTCTAATTTCATTCATTAACAGCACAAGAATTTCTATATAAATATTTTCAGTTGAGAGACATTAATTTTTGTCTATCTGTTTTGTGATTTTTTTTCTTTTCTTTTTCCTTTTCCTCTCTATATTTCATGTACCTTAAGTATTTTTTCCCTTTCTTTACATAACTTTGGGATCAACAAAAAATTTTAAATTTTGCTTAAGCCTCAAAGCCTAAAAACTTCCTTAGGCTCCCTCCTCTTTTGGCTTCTCCCTGATTCCTTAAGACTAGCTGAGTTTATTGGGGGAGAGAAAATGCTTGGAGATAAACTGCATCTGAAGTCTAAAAAGGGTGTATTACTGATTGCATGTTAGCAAGCAAGTGATCTGGTCTCTATAAATTCACCTCCCCATTTTAAAAGGAAGAAATAACATATAGATATAATTGTCTGTGGTAACAATTTAAAGAACATTAATCAAATTATGGCAAAGTCCTCTTTACCAGAATATACATTCTGGTATAATGCTATTGGAGCATTTCCCTTCTAGATTTCAAACTTCAAAAGGTCCCATTCCTGTGAGTGACCTTGGAAACCACAGAATAAAATATTTAGCAGTGGTTTGGATTAGCAGCAATAGAAATTAATAGATTTAAGTGTACTTTGGAAATAATTTAATAGAACTTGCTCAGGTAAAAAAGAAGAAAGACATAAATTGGGCTGGGGATTTAGCTCAGTGGCAACACACCTGCCTCCAAGCACAAGGTCCTTAGTTCAATACCTGGTACCAGGATGAAAAGAGAGATATATATAACTCCTTGTTATGGCACACCACTGGGTGGGTGGTGGAATATTTACTTAATATGCTTAATAATACTTAAATGGTGAGAACCATTTTAGGGTAAAGGTTGGGGGATGGAATCCATATCTTTTACGGACTTTGTTTTCAGTTGTATATCCAGAAACATAAGAATTCCTATACAAATGATTTAATGAGGAAATGCTTTCAGTAAGAAGGTTGAGGACATGGAGGAAGCTAGACAGCACAGGGAAATGGGGTCAGGGGTATTAGGTGAGGTATCATGATGCCATGGGTCATTTCAGTCTGATCCTGGGGAAGGTTGGAAATGTAAGTTATACCTCAGAGTTGTTGATTTTACCTTAAGGACCAAAGCACTTATGCTTTTGACTGCTGGCAACTCACATTTAAGTTCCTCTACAGGAATCACTCGTGGATGAAAAGAGCTGCCTAATGCAAGTTTATACTGTCCCTTGAGGACACCCTGGACCCTTTGCCTCAATTTATGACAACTCTGAAGAGCCATCTCAGGTTTGGAACTCTCTGAGGAATTACAACTGCATTGTAGTTCAGTTTCTACTTCCCTTATACCTTAAAACTGGTGATATTCCCAAGAGCTTTTCCCAGTAAACCCCAGTATTAAATTTTCATCTTAAATGCTGTCTGCCACAGAACCTGATGTAAGAGAGTGGAGCATTTTGCAATAGGCACTATTCTTAGATTAGTAATTTTTTTAAATGTTTTTAAATGTATTTGAAAATGCCATTTTCTTTACATGTTGATATAAATAATATTTTGTGAAAAAATAGGAAAATATTTAAGAAGAGAGGCATTGTTGATACCATTTTACAAATACCTTTAATGCCGTACTGGAAGATTAACTGGGTTCTCATAGCTCCTGTATGGAGTCTGTAGCAATGTAACTTTCACATAGACTGGGAAAACTCCTCTGTATACTTATGAAGAATCAAAATGGAAAAGGAAACTAAGCCGG